AGGACTTGCTAATGGGTCATGTGTGGGGCATGAATGAGACAGTCAAGACTGACCTAATGCTTTTTTTATCTGAGCAAAGGAAAAGGAGAAGCCATTTCCCAAGATGGGGTACAGCAGGGGTTGGCAACCTATGCCTGAGCACCAAATTCAGCCTGCTTCCTGCTTTTGTACAGCTGGGAGTTAAGCATGGCTTTTACATTTTTCAAAGTTCATAAACATAAAAACAACAACAAAGAGAAAACCGGATGTGGCACTCAAAACCCCAAAATATTCACAATCTCTTTACAAACTTTGGCAACCCCTAGGCCATAGGAGACAGGGTCTAGGGAGGAAGACTGAAAGCTTAGTGTTGAGCATGCTAAGCTCAGGGCGCCATGTGGACGTCCAAGTGCAGATGCTTAGTGGGCAGTTACAGACAGGGCAGTGCCAAGGCTGGGGGAACAAGAGGGCTGGAAATACAAGTTTGGAAGTCTTCTGTATTAGTCCGTTTTCACTGCTGATAAAAACATATCCAAGACTGGGTAATTTATAAAAAAAAATAAGTTTAATGGATTCATAGTTCCACGTGGCTGGGAGGCCTCACCGTCATGCCACCTTATATGGTGACAGACAAGAGAAAAGGAGAGCCAACTGAAAGGGGAAACCCGTTATAAAACCACCAGAACTCGTGAGACTTATTCACTATCACAAGAACAATACTGGGGAAACTGCCCCCATTATTCAATTATCTCCCACAGGGTCCCTCCCACAACACGTGGGAATTATGGGAGCTGCAACACAAAATGAGACTTGGGTAGAGACACAGTCAAACCATATCACCTTCCATCTAAGTGGTGTTTAAAGCTGTAAGACTGGAGGGTTCACCTAAGGTATAAGGGAAAAAACAACATGCAGTGGCTCATGCTTGTAACCCCAGCACTTTGGGAGGCCAAGGCAGACAGATCACTTGAGGTCAAGAGTTTGAGACCAGCCTGGTCAACAATGGCCAACATAGGTAAACTCCATCTCTACTAAAAATGTAAAAATTAGCTGGGTGTGGTGGCACATGCCTATAATTCCAGCTATAGCAGGAGGCTGAGGCACAAGAATCACCCGAACCCAGGAGGCAGAGGCTGCAGTGAGCTGAGACTGCACCATTGCACTCAAGCATAGCTGACAAAGTGAGACTCGGTTTCAGGATTTAAAAAAAAAAAAACAGCGCCCATAGACTGAGCCCCGTGGCCTCCAAGAGGCAGAGATCAGAAAGCTAAGGCAGAACCAGGACAGGATGCTGAGGAAGAGCAGCCAAGAGAGCAGGAGGCAGCCAGCCAGCATGGGGTACATTTCCTCTCTGTCGATCCTCAAACCCACTCAACAAGAGGGTATACCTATCACAGTTTACTGATGAGGAAAGTCACCCTGCTAGGAAGAGGCAAACAGACCCACACCCAGGCCTCTCTAGCTCTACCTACTCCACATGGCGTTTCTACAGGGCAACCTATTGAGTTATTACTGATGCCACAAATACAATTAAAACCAAATAATTCCAGGCAGGCTGTAAGACAGTCTTTCCTTCTAAGTAAAAAGCTAATTCTATGGTTAAAGGCTGAGAACCTCATCAAGACAACCAAGCACTGTATAGATTCAAAGCATGTTACAGACATGGTCAAACAGCTCACAAGGGCATCCCCAGGGACAGAGAGAAAGCTCTTTTTCCTAACTTGATGAACAATTCTGAAGTTTATCCAAAGGAATAATAACTAAATGAGAAAAACTAAGTAAATTTCATAGAAAATGAAGTTTATTGGATAACAGTAAAGTTAGTTACTAGAACAGCTTGAAAAGTGAGGTACTAGCACAGACCAAAATCTCAGAATTAAACCCCATATCCTGGGAAATTCTGGCACTGCAAAATCAAATTGAAAGGACCGATTTCTCTATAAATATGAGTCAATGATAACTGTTTGGAAACAAAGCTCCTTACCATATAGCCTATGCTAAAATAAATTTCAAGAAGATTAAATTTCATGTTATGTAATCATAAAATAAAACTCAAAGAAAAAGTAAAAGAATTTTGCGTCAAACTGAGGAAGACTTCTTTTAACAAAGAGAATCATGGAAGGTGAAAACATAAAGGAAAATACTAATAACTTTAAACAAACAAAGTTATTTAACTTTGTATGTAAAAGATACCATAAAGAAAACATAAAGGCAAATGATGAAAAAGGATTAAGATACAAAGAGCTCTAACAGGTCATCAAGGTAAAATATGAGCACTACAGGAATGAGCAAGAGGTGTAAATACATTTTTTCAAATTTCTATAATAAACATATTATGGGGGAAGATTAAAAAGGAAAAGAATTACCTATAGCTCAATTAAAGCTACATCCTGGATCGGCAATGGAGCTAGAACAAGGGGTCTATGGTTCAGCACTCTATTTACCAAGCCAGCCCCAGGTAAAACATGAGACCCTGGTGTCAAAAGAGAAACACAAATAATGAAACAGCTGCCCTGTGGGAAAGCAATCATCTCGGATTTAGAAATAAAGCTGTAGTGACACCGCCTATTTCCATCCCTTTAGCCCTACTTTACCCCTTTCTTCCTGAATCAGAGGATTGAGGCTGAAAGAAACCCAAGACACGTTAAGGTCTCATTTCCTTATTTTGCAGTGTGACAAAACAGACCCAAGTAGTGGAAGAAGTTGGCACTGAGGCAGGATACCTGTTCCAGGGGTCCTCTCATTGCACCTGATGACTGATCCCTTCTTTTTGGGGGGGAGTAGGGGTGGAGACGAGGTCTCACTCTGTCACCCAGGCTGGAGTATGGTGGTACGATCTTGGTCACTGCAACTTCTGCCTCCAGTCTCAAGCAACCCTCCCACCTCAGCCTCCCAAGTAACTGGGACTACAGGCATGTGTCACGACACCCTGTTAATTTTTTTGTATTTTTGGTAGAGGCAGTATTTCACCACGTTTCCCAGGCTGGTCTCCAACTCCTTCGCTCAGGTAATACACCCGCCTCCCTTGGCCTCCCAAAGTGCTGGGATTATAGGTGTGAGCCACTGCGCCTGGCCTTGATGCCCTTCTTCCCAGACAGCAGTGTTGAAAAATAAGACATGACTTTACAAATACCTCATCTTCCCACAAATGTCAGCAAAAAAAATAAAGAGAAACCATACAAATTTCCAATGTTTTGTTGGAAAATACTTCATAATGTTTGAATACTATTCCATATTAGGAGTTGCATTACTGCTTTAACAAGACAGCTTTGTCCATCTGAATTCCCTTTCCTGCTGAAGAACTCAAGAGAGTCATGACAGGGAGGATAGACAGGCTGAACGTGCCACTGTGGACCCGTGATAGCACTCCTCGCACCGACCCCATCCCTCTGGATCAGTTGGTCCAGGGTCTGACATATTGATGGCTTCTATCTGCTCAAAGCCTTTTTAGCACAGAGCCCAGACTGCAGAACCAGGCATGAGATCACAGCACCCTGCTCAGTGCCTGTGAATGCGTTCTTGACCTACCACCACAGCCCACTGGATACTCCACGCTTCCCTGCCGCTGGGTACAGCTGCTCTTCATGACTTAAGGACTGAAGTAGTTATGTGCCATCATGTTAAGAAACGGAGTTCCTGCCTAAATGTTCAGGCAGCTGAGAAGTCAGTAAGCCTTACTTCTCAGTAAGGCTTATTGTCTGTGGAGGTGTAGACTCATTAAAAACTACATGACTTTAATGCGTTCATTATTCAAGTATGACTGCCTGACTGTCATTGTATTTTTCATTTTGCTTATGGATTTTTTTTTTTTTTAGAGAATACTGCTTAAGTTCTAATAGTTACGGTTCTGGCTCTTTTTCAGCCGTAGGCAAGCCCTTGGTCCTTAATTCTGATGAATCCCAGCAAAGCATGCACCCTTTGCATTGAGTTCCTCATGCTCACCTGCATTCCTGCTGAGGGCCTAACCACACACCAGGACTGATTTTTAGAACAATCTTAAAATAAAGGTAGAACTTAAGAGCTATATCTCATCCACTAAATTCTGAAGTTAAAAATCACTGCTGAAAAACTTTGATTTTTTTTTAGTAAAGTCCAATTTTCATACATAATTGTGGTAAATAACAATACATTCATAAATAAACTTTAATAATCTTGTCACGTGGAGTGTTTACAAGTCCCTCACACAACTGGTTTTCCTCAGTAAAATCAAGTTTCTTACGGTTTAGATGCCTGTCTTCCTAGAACAAATCTTCTTTCCCTCTATCCAGCCTGTAACAGGGAGACTGTACCCACCACCCACCGAGCTCCCCATCCACCTCGACCCACGCACTGCTCGGGGCTCCTGAGCTCCCCTCCATCATGGGCACTTACCCTTACCATGCCCTGCCTTCTCCTCTGTCCTGACTTCTAGATTATGAACTCCTTGAATGCAGAAACTGGTCTCTACTTGACATAGAACCTACCACCATGGCTAGCACATACAAGAACTCAATCAATGGCTCTTAATGAATGAATGAAATGAGAAATCCACGCAAGTAAACTTTATCTAGATCAAACCTGCCCAAATATTGCTTTTATTTTAGACTTAGTTCCACCCCTGAGGTAGCTTGGATGATAAGAACCTCCCTTGAAAAATCTGGCCAGGTGTGATCAAGGTTGCCCCTCAGGATCCTGGAGCTCCAGGTGGGGATGGAGGGCTCCAGAGGATGGAAACTTCAGAACCACAGATCGAGGCTTCCTGAAGATGCCTCCTTCCCTGAATCAGCTTCCCCACCACCGCATACCCCACCACTGGTGCACACACACCCAAGTAGGTGTTTATCCTGCACCTGCTGGAAGTGAGGCACTGAGCACAGGGCCGGGAGGAAGCCAGGCCAGGTCTTCACTGCTCTTTCAGGAGCCCTTTCTAATGGGCATGTGCTCTTTCCCACCACTGGTACAGCAAGTATCTGACAAACTGGAACATCAGCTGCAAACCACACATTTAGAGGGGAAAGTTCACCTTGGGGTCATTTACTCACCATCTGCAGTGTGAAGGAGCTTGTGACTTTTCAGTGTCCCTTTGGATTTGAATTTCTTGCCACACATGTCACATAGGTGGGTTTTCTCAGTGCTGTGACGATTCATATGAGCCTTGAGGTTACTCTTGCTACGAGTTGCGTACTCACACAAAGAACACTTGAAGGGCTTCACACCTGCCAAGGGGAAAATGTAGGTATCTATCTATATATATTTACATATGTGTATGCAAATGTGTGTGTGCTTCTGAAGGAATACATATATCCATATCTAAATACACTTATAGATATGCATATATAAAACATCCGTTTTGAACACAGCAATGTACTTGCTTGGTCCTAAACCACCACACACTTCCCACGCCAGGCTCCTCCCCAGGCTGTGCCTTCCTCCTGGGATGCGCTTGCCTCCTGGGATGCCCCCACTGTGCAGCTTTCTCTGACCTTCCCTGGTAGATTTCCCTACCTCCCTTATCAATGTTCCCAACTCCTGTAACTCTCTACCAGCTGGAATGTTCACTGCACATTACAGTGAGTCCTTCATATCTGCCCTCTCCCCACAGTCTGGGAACTCCTTGAGGACAGAGATCATGAGCAACCCACAGACAAGACAGTCACTAAATTCAACCGATCTGAGTTAAACTGAACACTATGAAAGGCACCAAGGCCCTTTGCAAACATCAATAGGATCAGGCACCAGGACCCGATGTGGAAGCACATTTATTCCATAAAACAAACCGAGCTTTACCGCACTGGTGGCTGATGGCCTGAAGACTCTGACCGCAGGGGCATCTGGGCATTCAGCACTCCTTCATTCACCAAGGGTCTACTGAGGGCCTATTTTCATACTAAGCACTGAGGATTAATCTGGAAACTGAGAAGAGTGAATCCCAGCCTTCAGTGTTGGGTGGGAGATGCAGACAGGTAAACAGGCCATTACAACGTGGTGTGATATGCTATAGGGACAGGGGTTGGAGCTGGCGGGAAAGAGGAGGAGGGCGGGGAGCAAACCTGAACACAGTAACGAAGCAGACAATTTTTAGTAGGCCAAACATTTGCACCCATTATCTACACTACCTTTGACTTTGCAGTTGAGGAAACCAACCCTTTAAAGAGGCTGAGGACAATGCCCAGGAGCACAGAGCTGAGATGCATTCCGGGGTGTGATGTGCCTTAGGGCCCATGCAGGCCCAGCTCTGGCTTGGGTTTCTAGAGATGAAGTAATACTCTAACCATAAGCGCCAACAGGCTGTGTGCCCTTGAACTTATGTTTGGATCACAATTGTCATCTCTGTAAAATGACAAGACCAGGAGTCACTTCCCAAGGAGCCTTCAGGGCACCAGATCCCCTGTTCTGGGTTGGTCATTTACAACACGCTTTCACAAGAGCAGGGCCACAGCCGTCGTGGTAGCCTAGGTCATGCAGCATCTTTCTTTATCCCACGCTACCCTCAGCAGGCATTTCAACCCTGAGTCAAAGCTACAGATGGCTCAGGACTACCACCACTGCAGAGGAGAGAAGCCCACACAAATCGTATGCAAAGGGAACAGGATGCATTCCTGCTGTCTTTAGATACTTGATAAATGTGTGAACAGCTGAATATATTCAGGTACAATTTGACTTGGTGTTTTTCTAAAAGAACTCAAGAATGAAGACATGCACTGTCTCCCAATCCTGGAGAAGGCTAATTCATAATTTATGTTCCTCATTATGTCTGGAAGGAGAAGAACCAAGTAAAGCAACACAGAGATTGAAGTATACATATTTCCATTAACATCTTTGCCCACCCACCGGCCGGCCATGCAACCCTGCAGAGTCACCTCAACAGCTCTGCACCTCTGTGGGCTCTGTGACATAAGATCATGGAAAATGAGATGGTGCAGGTAACTGTGGATCTCCAGGTCATCCACACTATGGCATTCACCCCAAGGTGACATACTAAGACACTGTCTACTCTAAGTTCTCCCCGAAGGGCCAGTGTTTAGAACTGCTGTAGTGGATGGGTCCAGGTATATTGCTTGACTACTAAGAAACCTTGAACAAAGTTGCAGGTCCTCTAAGCAACAAATGTCACAGGTATGCACAAAGTCCTACATGGTTAATTTCTGTGACTACAGTCAATACAGTGTTTTCTTATTTCCTTTCTTTTTAATTTGTGTTTTTTAAATTTTTTTTTTACCTATGTTTTGAGAGTAAACAGAGACAAGGGGTATTTTATGGTACGGGGATCAATTCCAAATAATCCAAATGTAGTGCATGTACTGATACCCTTTTTCCTTTGTGATTCATCATTATACAGAAAGTCACAGATTAGAAAAAAAAAAAAAAAAAAAGGATGCCAGGATACAGCAGCTTTTGGCTTTCTGAATTTTTATCAAGTCTGAAGTTGCTTAAAATACTAGATTCCTTTCGAATGGCAAACACACAACCTTACTTCATCATCACAAATATTTACTTAATACAATATAGCAGCAGCCATGTATTAAGTACCCAATATGTGCTAACCCTTCTACTGAGGGTTTTATATAAATTATCTCTTTGATCCTTGCAACATATCCCAAAGTAGATCATATTATAGATAAACTGAGGTTCAGAGAGATGGAATTATTTTTCCAACATACACGGTGACGGTGAGAGTTGAACCCAGCTCTCTCACTTCCTCTCACATGAGTACAATTACAGTTTGATGCCTTTAAAAGCCCCTGGTCTCCAGCCTCTGCTGTGCCCTCTGTATTCTATCAAGGTTGACTCCCTGCTGATTCCCATGAACGCCATTCCAAGCCTGTCTTCTCGGCATTCTTTGCTGAGCAAACTTGACATCGGCTATGAATGCCTTCAACTTCGTAACAAAGTAACCACACGTGTCTAAACAGATACCTGTTACACCTCACGCCCCTCACCCCTGTCTCAGTGTAGGAGGCGCCTCCTCCTCCTGAAACAAGTCAGTGCAGAAGAGAAGAGCAAGAGTCTTGGAATCAGATGACATTGGTCCAAATCCCAGTCCCGCCACGCGTTAGCCGTGTGACCCTGGCACATTACTTTACTGTCTAAGCCTCATTTTCCTCATTGGTAAAATGTGGATGGCAACAGCACCCACCTCTAAGGTTGTTGAGAATACCAACTCCAATAACATGAGTAAAACACTGAGCACTGGCATCTCCTAGGTGCTCATTATATTCTGGTAAATAAAAAGTAGCTGCCAACCTTGGAATTTATCTCAAGTCCTTCTGCCTTCTCCAGGTTCCTAATCTATCAGTTACTATTCTCATTAATGAACCATTCATCTCTTTCTCCCCAATAGTTCCTTCCCTGGGATCTATAAATAGGTCCTTTTATCCCATATTGTAGAAAATATTTCACCCTTCATCCCCCTCTAGTCTTGTTTTCCTATCTGCAGCATTCCAGGTTCCTAATTAACAGGCAGGGACCTGATGCAGGAGTCTGGAAGGGCTTTCCCCAGCCCCTGGCTCCTACCCTAATCCCTAGCAGGCTCATGCCATTACCCAGGGGGAGAAAACAAAGTTGATGACCTATTGTGCTAGCAGAATCTTTACTTCCAACTTCCCAAAGCCCTGAGTGTGGCCCCCCAACACTTTCCTTTATAGGCAAGCAACCCAAAAGCACAGCCTACATTCTGCTCTCCATTCCCTCATCTCCATTCAGCCCTCCCACCTTCAGAATTCCTTCTCCATAGCCTGAATAACACTCCACACTGCTGGAATGGGAGAACGCCTTGCTGCCTTCCTTCCTTCCTTCATAAAACCAACAGTTCTGGAAAACCTGCTATGTACCAGGCACCAGGGTGGGCACTGGAGTTCCTTCCATGTATAAGACTCTGGTGTTCCTGTTCTGAAGGTACCTACTTTCCAGCAGGGGAGTCATGGTGATTTATTTCACTATAATTGCAATGAGACCTATGAAGGAATGCACACCTCTATTCATTGCAATTGCGACTGATTAACGATTTAAATTACTGTTTGTAGCTGGTTGATGGATGCAACTCTCAGTATGCTAAGGAAATTCTAAAAGCAGGAATGTGAAGATAATGGCTTCCTCCTAATGTACTCCCAAAATGAAGGATGGAAGCACAAAGTTAAAGGGGTGCCAAATTTGGAAAGAAAAATACTCACCTTCATGAGCCCAAATATGACGCTGAAGGTCTGAGCCATTCTTCATGAAATAAAAGTCACAATACGGGCACTTCATGGCTCTCTTTCCGATTAGCCCTTTCAGCTGAACCCTCCTCCCAAGAACCTCGGAAATAGTGCTCATGGAGACCTCTAGAAGGAAAGTAGGATGTCAAAAGGGGTCAGAGGACCTCGGGGAAAGTTAGACATAAATAAACCTTATCACTAAGCAGCACCAAAGGTGGAATCGAGGTGTGCCTCATAGTGTCCAGAGATAGGATTTTTCACCTAAAAAGTTAAACCAGAATCCAGTCGAGTCTCAGATCTCAGTATCTGTTTCACATCACGTACGAGGAATGGAGAAGCGACATCACAAGGCAATAACCACACAAATGCAGAAAGGGAGACTGTCTACAGGAAATATGACTCAGTTTCCCCCACAAGTCAATGTCATGGGAAAATAGCACAAGGGAGGGGGGCACTAGAGAACAGGAGAAACAGAAACGTAAGGAACAAAACCACTAGATGCAAATGCTTAGATGCTGCTTCAAGAAAATCAACAGCTAAAAAAAAAAATCTTGGGAAAACTGGGGAAATTTTAAACAGGCTTACAATAGGTGCCAAGAATGAATTACAGTTCATCCTGTTTGCTTTTTTGGTGACATGGTGGCTATGCTGAAAGCAATCCTTATTAGTTGGAGATGCATTTTAAAGGTTTTTATGGAGGAATTACATGCTGTCTAGAATATATTTTTAAATATCCTAGAAGAAAAAAAGTTTGCATGGTGGATACATGAAAAGAGCTTGGCAAAATCTGGATAACTGAGGAGGCTGAGTGACGAATACAGGAGGTTCCCGGCATTATTCTGTGTGCTCTCGTATGCTTGAGATTTCCTGGAATAGAAAGTTTAAAATAATAACAAAATCGTTTCTTACATCTGTTCATCAGCAAGGGTTAGCTGTTTTAATAACAACTCTGCTCACACTGGATCCCATGTCACTTAGGACATGAGTTAACATGAGGAGGACAGAGCTGGGCCTTCAGAGAAGCACACAGCCCACACCCTTCCCACATACACGCAGGCCTCACAGCTCCGTCCACTCCCGGATGAAACATGAGTCTTAGTGCCCTTCTATTATTTCTTTATCTTCCTCCATTTACAATCAGTGAGTCTGTTCCCTTATACCACCAGCAGATACAAAATAATAGAGAACAAGAAAAAATAGACATGCATGAAGGGAGAGGCGCATTTAGAGGGAGTATCTGTTACTCCTTCATAAAATACACAATGCCCTTGTGTGCTTTCTAGGGGCCTGGCTAGCAAGTCACAGTGACTGGAGCATGGTGGTCAGTGCACTGTGTGTAAAGTTAGCAGGGGTTGGGGGTGGACCCTCTGCCAGACTGGAAGCTACAACAGCCTCCCCAAATTCAGGGTTATGAGGAAGAACATAAAGAATGAACAGAAATTAATCAGGCAGGACAGAAGGGAAAATGTTCCAGGTGGCACAAACAGAAAAGACAAGGCATGGACACCAAGGTAGCTGGTCCCTCATGTATCTGACCAATGTGGAAGGTGAGAAGACCCGTGGTGATGGTCTCTCCACTCCCAGATGCTCCTCAGCCTGGGCAGGAGCCAACACCCCTTACAAACCACCACTCTGAGTAACACAAGCTTATGACAACGGCCAGGCAACAGGCAAGAATCTAAGTCAGACCTGCATTATATGGGACCCATTCAAAGGTATGCAAATATCACTGAAACTGCAGGGGTGAGGGCAGATGCATCTCAACACCAGATAAAAGAAGAAAAGGAAAGAAATAATTATCCCAGCTTTGAATAAAGATGATTGTTTCCCATGAATGCATACACAGCTTTATCCCTTTTTATGTCTATATAGTGCAGTTGATGTAAAACATTGTTTTAAATAAACATAAGCATTTTTAACATTAATCTCCCACTCTAAAATGTACAACCTTACCAGGATGGTTGGTCTTGATATGTGACTTTATCAATCGATCTTCTGAAAAAGACTTTTCACAAACAGGGCAAGAATAACTCCTTTTGTCCTAAATAGAAAGAGAACATAATCAATTGACTCTCTAATTTAAATCTTGGCTCTGTAAAAAATAACCACCACCATCACCATTATTACCACCACCACCACTACCTCTCATGCTATCAACAGTCATCACCATCATCAATACCACCATCACCACCACCAGCACTATCAACAGTCATCACCACCACCATTATCACCATCATCAATACCACCATCACCACCACCAGCACTATCAAAAGTCATCACCACCACCATTATCACCATCATCAATACCACCATCACCACCACCAGCACTATCAACAGTCATCACCACCACCATTATCACCATCATCAATACCACCATCACCACCACCAGCACTATCAACAGTCATCACCACCACCATTATCACCATCATCAATACCACCATCACCACCACCAGCACTATCAACAGTCATCACCACCACCATTATCACCATCATCAATACCACCATCACCACCACCAGCACTATCAACAGTCATCACCACCACCATTATCACCATCATCAATACCACCATCACCACCACCAGCACTATCAACAGTCATCACCACCACCATTATCACCAACATCAATACCACCATCACCACCACGAGCATTATCAATAGTCATCACTACCATCACCATTATCACCATCATCAATACCACCATCACCACCACCAGCACTATCAACAGTCATCACCACCACCATTATCACCAACATCAATACCACCATCACCACCACGAGCATTATCAATAGTCATCACTACCATCACCATTATCACCATCATCAATACCACCATCACCACCACCAGCACTATCAACAGTCATCACCACCACCATTATCACCATCATCAATACCACCATCACTACCACCAGCACTATCAACAGTCATCACCACCACCATTATCACCAACATCAATACCACCGTCACCACCACGAGCATTATCAATAGTCATCACTACCATCACCATTATCACCATCATCAATACCACCATCACCACCACCAGCACTATCAACAGTCATCACCACCACCATTATCACCATCATCAATACCACCATCACCACCACCAGCATTATCAATAGTCATCACTACCACCACCATTATCACCATCATCACCACCATTACCAGCACTATCAAGAGTCATCGCCAGCACCACCACCACCATCACCACCACTACCACCATCACCATCGTCAACACTAGCATTATCATCAGCACCATCATTATCACCAGCTTCATCAAAGCCAGACACAGTGCACCCTTCCAAGCATATACAAACAGCCTCTACCTGGCCTTGCTTTTGGGGAGCTCAAAAGTAGGGGAATGGGGGAATGAAGGAATGGCATCAGCTCTATTTCAGAGGGAAGGGATGAGGCTTAGAGGGGAGAGTTCTGTGGAAGTGGGCAATACTCAGCCTCAAGGCTGCAGCTCTACCACACAGACCAGTGCTAATCTATAACTCAAGAGCATATTACAACCGCCAGCACTCAACACAGGGATTACATGGGCAAATGATTTCATTGAGACTCACAACCACTCACAAAAGATAGGCACTGTTCATGCACATGTTACAGATTAAGAAAACGAGGCCCAGGATATAAGCCCGAAGTCTGAGAGGAGACGCCAGTGTTGGAAGCAGAGTGTCCAGATGCCCACCCAGGATGCCTCCTGCCACTCCAAGACCCGTGTCCCACTGAGGCTGCAGGAGGTTGTTCATCCTGGACTGCTGCAGCTTCATAGCCATGGTCACCATCGTGTAACATTCTCAATTAGGAAGAGGGTTTTGTGAATTACCAAGCTACGGCTTTTGCTCACTGCCCTTTTCTCTCAGCACTCACTTGAGAGCGACTTCACATCACTCTTTTCCCCCAGTGTGGATGTCACTGGTTGAATTGTATTCCCCAAAAATCATATGGTGGAGTCCTAATCTCCAATACTTCAGAATGTGACCTCATTTGGAGACAGGGTCTTTACAGAGGTAATCCAGTTAAAATGAGGTCACTGGGGTGGGCCGTCATCCAATGTGACTGGTGTCCTTATAGAAAGGGGATAACAGAGCTGCACGCAGGGAGAACGCCATGTGCCAATGAAGGCAGAGACCAGAGCAATGCGTCTACCAGCCAAGGAATGCCAAAGACAGACAGCAAATCACCTGAAGCTCAGAGAGAGGCACGGACCACATCCTCCTCAACGGCCCTCAGGAGGAAGAGGCCCTGCCAACACCTTGACCTCTGCCTTCTGCTCTCCAGGACGATGTGATAGTAAATACCTGCCGTTTATATCACCAGTGTGTGGCACTTTGACTGCCAAGCTTACCAAACCCACAGCTTACTAAGAGCCAAACCCTGGTAGGAAATGTCGCTGGGCAGATAGCTGAATAAGGCCAGGCATGGTGGCTCATGCCTATAATCCCAGCATTTTGGGAGGCCGAGGTGAGCACATCCCCTGAGGTCAGGAGTTCAAAACCAGCTGACCAACATGGAGAAACCCTGTCTCTACTAAAAATACAAAACAACTCACTGGGTGTGGTGGTGCATACCTATAATCCCAGCTACTCGGGAAGCTGAGATAGGAGAATTGCTTGAACCCAGGAGGCGGAGGTTGTGGTGAGCCAAGACTACACCACTGCACTTCAGTCTGGGTAACAAGAGCAAAACTCCACCTCAAAAAAAAGTGAAAACAAAATATGCAGGAACTCCCACTGGAAGGAAAGGTTTGGGGCTGTGTTTCGGGGGAGGTTAATATACTCCATGCTCACTTGGGTTTACAGAAGGACTAAATCCCTCTATTTGTGGCACCTCTACTGTGAGCTCCATGAGGCACCAAGTGTGTTCCCTGCCTTGTGTGATGACTGTGCTCCTCACTGCGCTCCCGCCAGGCCATCTACTCCTACTCTAAACAACGAAAAGCACAAGAGCTCCACTTCTGAAGAACTCACTGGATGCAAAGTGCTTTACACACGTATCCCATGAGGCCTTTAGAAACTTGTCCAGGCTTCACACTGCACCAAGAACAGAGCTGGGCTCCAGAGCTCTTGCTCCTGCGAGACCTTGACTAGCAGAACAGGCTCAGGGCTCAGAGCCCCTGGGTTCCGACTCTGGTTTTGCCACTTATTAGCTGTGGAACTTTGAGCAAGTGATTTAACCTCTCAGTGCCTCCGTTTGATCGTCTGTAAAATGGCAATAAAAACAGTGCCTCCTTCATAGGGTCTGAAGGAGGATAAAGGAGATGAAAAACAGAGTGTTAGAATGGAGCCTGTCATATAGGGAGAGCGCAATAAACCTGAAAGACTTTGCTGCTGTGGTTTCTGTGTTGCTATCAGCATCACAGCCTGAGACCGCAGCCCTTCGCATGGGCGAGCACTCCCTGGGAACCTCTGAGAGCAGGATCTGAATGAGCACCCTCTCCCTCCTTTGTGGCCTGGTTATTGTCACTGAGGCCGTCTCCTGAGGCCGGTGTTCCCCAGCGTCTGGTGCTCCCCAGCATACACTTAGAAAAAGTGTATCTTACACTAAAAAACAAAACCAAAAGAAAACAAAAGTCCCTCTAAACAACCAAATCGTTTGGGTGCATTTCCCACCAAACATCTGAATACCAAGCAATGCCAGCCAAGCGCACATGTCCCAGGGGTCCAGGCACCTCTTAAGAAACTGTCCTGAATTTTCTGGCCAGGCAATGCCACAGATCCCCACGCAGGCTACACCACAGGCTCAGTGCTCCTCAGAGTACTCCTGTCACTGCCCTCCTCTGCCCTTGGCCTCAGGCAAGATGCCCCGGGCCCGGCAGGCATCCTGGAGGAGACCTCCACCACCCTCACTGCCTCTCAGTGCCTGCATCATCAGAGTTGATGGAGGTATTCAGAAGGGCTTTGAAGGAGTTTACAGTGATCTCCCCTGAGCCTCTGCTATTTGATTTTTTTTCTTTTAATCTCTGATAGTCAGAAAGCAATTTATCTCAGAGCTTATCAGGGCCCCTTCTTTTTGATGCCTTTGAAGACTGTCAGAAGGACACAGATGGTGGTAAAGGGTACTGGGCGGGGGTGTGTGGGGAACTCTTAGGACTCATTTGCTTCTTTTTCAAAACCTCAGTTCCACACCAGAGATGAAAACTCAGACTGACACAACAAACTTAAAAAGAGTGGTGGTTAAAAGAGCTCCCGGCAGAGACAGAGAATATGAGAGACCCATGCCTTAATGATGGTAGGAAAGCCCCGCTTTTGGAGTCTGTTTGCTCTGACAGAAATGGCCTTCAAAGCAATCAGGACCCTTTGAAAGAAGGGAAACACTGCACGAAACCGCAGCATGGCCTGGGGTAGAGGGTCAGCCCTAAGCCTTAGGCTCACAGCCCAGCTCGCTGCTCCGGGCAAAGCTCATCTGGTCTATGCCTTAGCGGTAGGTGCTTTAAAAAAATAAAGGTGGGAGTTTCTACTCAACCATTTCTCAGGAATAAAGCCCACAGTTATGGCATGTGCTTTCTTCCATGGACTCATTCATTCCTCAACTGCTATAGGGCCCCTGGTATGTGCCAGGCACTGCACTGAGGAAGAGGTGTGAGACTCTCAGAGGCTCCAATGCTCATCAAGAAAGAGATCTGTCAACACGTGTAGCCCACCCATCAGTGAAGATGTCTGCAGAAAGTGCAGCAAAGCACAGGAAAAGTCATGTTGAAATTGCAACTCATGTGAACACGTTAGAAGAGAGCCAGAAATGTGCTCAATTTAGGATTTCAACTCAAGAATTTTCCTTTCGCCTGGAAATAGTTCTGTTTTGCCACATCATGCCCTTTCAATTTAGAATCTCAGTTCTTACTAAAATGAAGCTATTCTATACACAACATGATCTGGTAGCCTGAGGTCTCCTGGACAGTGGATAAAACACCCAAATGGAGAAACACAGAAACAAATTTGTTCTATAATCAAACAAGAAAAGATCATTTTCTTACAGCTCTTGGAAAGGGAAAACATTACATGCAATCACTCTAATTCAATAACATTTCCTCTACTTTTAAAGTA